GGCGGGCTGGCCTGGTTGCAGAGGGGAGCGGAGTGCGTCGGGTCATTGGAACATGGGGTAGCGGCAGCTTCTCCGCGCGACTGAGTTTTGTCTGGTGCGAGGCAACACCCGTACTGCCATGGACGATTGTCAAGCCAGACCCTGTACAGCTGGTAAACCTAAAGCCTGTGAAACCCTCGCTTACTTGGTAAATCACAGCTTCAAGTCCTGTGGTTTTGTTGTTTTTTTGTTTTAAAATAGATGGGATGTATCCTAATAATTTGGAATAACTTGAAAATTGTATCTAGCCAAATCTCAGTACAAATCATAGGAAGAAACTTATCCTTTGCCAGGTCTTTTGCTGGAGCTGGTCCCTGAGTTGGTGAGGAGCCCGTTGTCACCCACCTGGATGTCAGTACAAACACAATGAAGTAGAAAATGTCGTCAGCGCTGCCCCTCCCGCCTCCTGGCCCTCCGCCTGCCCTCCCTCCTGCGCTGGCGGGAGAGTGTCGTGCCGCTGTGGGCAGGGGGGGGGCTCTGCTGCAGGCCCGGCCGGGCCGCGGGACTGTGCCGAGGGGTCTTGAGGTGGGAAGGGTAGCGGCTCTTTGACTTCAGGCCGAAGGCCATTTTTCGTTGATGTGCTGAGCTTACTTGTTCAGGAGGAAAAACCCTACAAACACAAGCGAAAATGATCGTCAGGTTTCACATGCAGGAGTGCCTAACCTGAGATGTTCAATCTTGTTAAGGGCTGTGGCAGAAATCCCCTTACGTCATCAGGAGCACATGTAAAAGTAAGTGTAATTTAGCAGTGAGGTAAGATTTTAATCCTCTAAATGTACCATTATCCATTCTCTGTCCTGGCAGTAAAACCAGAAATATTTTATTAGAAACAAGCTTTTAAGTATATAAGTCAATTAATAAAAATACACCATATACAGGCAGACATAAATGCCAAAAGCAACATGGCAGTGACGGGCAATAAAGAAGAAACTCTATGCTGTGTTTGATGTTCCGAACATAAGTTTAGAAATTATTTTAAGAAGGATTAAAACAATAAAATGCATTTAAAAATTAGACTTGGCTTTCAGAAGCGAAACGCATGTCAAGGACCATTTTAGACATAAACTAACCTAATTTAGTCTCTCATATAAATCTGTGGATATGTTTTAACTGCATTTGTCATGTATCTTGCTAGCTAATGGAAACTGAGGAAAGTTTACGGAAAAAAGGACTAAATGTAACTGTGATGTGGTTGGGAAAGGTGGGTAGCTGAGCCACCTCCCTGTCCTGTGACCTGGAGAGCATGTAGGTCACAAGCTGATACATTTGCTGTATTTATCTTGTAACCCTTGAGTAGTACTCTGCATGTAATTTGGAAATTGATATTTGATGCTTGAAATATTAAAATAGGATTTGTGGGAACACTTTTGCTTAGAGAAAGTGAAATCTTCATTGCAGAATCCACGCCAAATATCAGATTTCTGTAAGAGAAAGAAAAGACATTACATAATTTTAATGACCAGATTGCTTTCCAAAGATATATATATAATTTAAAATGAGTTATACTCAGTGATTGTACAATGGTAGTATTTAAAGATCTAGGTGAAGGAACAGTAATTACTACGGCAAATGCTATACTGGTCTTATTATACCTTAGTAAAAAGAAAGTTTTGTACTCTTGCTATTTTGTTACCTAAGGGCTACATCATACAATATATGCAAAAAGAATTAAAGTGAGCTTGCATAAGCAGACATTTTTTTAATTAGTGAGCATATGACTTCATAAAGTTAACATTCTTTAAATTAGTGGATTTGGTTTATATATCTTGCTGGATACTTGGTAATGAACCCAAACAATCAACAGCTTCAACTTGCTCGTTATTAATGTAAAGATAAATTCCTACCTCCAGAAAAAACCACACAAGACTCTCTACATTCCTCTTCACTCTCAAAGCGGTTTGCATTTCCATCGCAGCCACCATACCAAAACTGAGCACAAGCATTGGCTTGTTTATCATAATACCATTTTATGATATAAACACGGCATGGCCCTTGATCCAGCCTTAACTTGCATCGGCGGTCCAGGATACTTTCTAAAATAAAGAAAAAAAAGGAATAGAAAGAATTCAGTTTGTAAAAGTCAATTGTATTTTATAGATTTTAACTTTTAAATTCTGGTTTTATTTTTTTTTTTTTTCTGCTAATGTTATACAGCAGTTTAAGATTCACTTTTACTTCTAAAATTGTTAGCATTGAAGGCAAGTTAAAAGTGCATCTTAGTAGGTCAAGTAAACTGTTGATTTACTGGAATGGTTCTAGTAACTCCAGAAATAATAGTATTATGTCTCCACATACAAGAAAAGCAAATGATAAGAATCTGATAATTTTAAAATCTAGTTATCAGCAACCAGTCTTGTAAGCAACCCAAAATTGTAATAGGCAAAGAGCTGTAAGCTAGCTGCATCTGCTATTTTTGAACCACAAGTATGACCAACATCCTTCTGCAGACATTGCTTCACTACATTAGTTCTCTTTGTGGTGTGGGGAAAGAGGCGTTAGAATAGTGGGGAGAATATAAAATGTTAGTCTTTCTTTTGTGAGATGTTTGTGCTACTTATTTAATACAATGGTAGTAATTACATACATACTAGTTAAGTGTGAACATAAAAGCTTGTTGGCCTAATGATTCCTACAGATATGCATTAGAGGACTGTGTCATACTAATTTAGTCTCACTCAATTTAATAACACCATGAGATAGAAAATACTTTTCCTTCAAGTTTAATGATGTGACATCAATATTCTGTCTTTGGCCACTGGTATCTTGACACTTTGGGGGGAAAAATAAAAGTTATTGCCAGAGACAGAAGAATAGTTGTGCTCATGTTCCTAGGAAACATGGGAACATGTTTCTGTTGCTCTCTTTTATTAGTCCCTTCATAATACACTATTGCTGGAACTCAAAGGTGTGAATCCCCCAAATGATGAACAGAATACATTTGGACATTTTATGTGAAAAGAACCAATCCTCTGAGCAGTTTGATAATTACTGTACTTCCTTCAAATGATTAAACACTGTTTATTCCTATTTCTTCTCTGAAGGAGAAATGTATTTTTTGTGTCCAATTCTGAAATCATTATCATTATCTTCTCTGTCTTTAATGAAGCCTTCCATCTCCATAGTCTGACCCTTCTTGGTTGACGAATTACCTGCTCACTGGCCCACCTCAGCCAGCGCAATATTCTCTTTTTGATGCCATGTATGAGCTCTGTCTCAGTTACAGCTGAAGTTGCTTCTGCTATAAGTGGAGCAGTGGGATTTGGTATTTGAGAAGACAAGAACTGGCGAACAGGCTGGACAAGAACTGCAACTATATCTGCTATAAAATCCTGAAATGGATTCTCTTCCACAGCACGGGCTCACAAAATCTTCAGAGAGCAGAACAAAATTTCTCTGATTTAAAGCCTTATGAAAAGTTAGTATCAGGATAAGAGGGAACAAAATGAGAAACAAGTTATGATCTATAACCTGGCCTTGGTGTGAGCCCTGCAGTTGAATGAGATGATGTCATCACTTTGTCTGATGATGGTGGGTTAGATGGCAATAATGGTACCACGGCTGCAGGTGAAAAGAAACAGAATGAGACATTGATTTTTGATCAGCCAAAAATAACTAGAAGATGAAGAAATGAATGATGATAAAAATACCTTTAGTGTCTACTGTTAGCAAGGATGACTGTTCCTCCTCCTCTTGTTCCTCTTCATAGACTTCATATACTACCACAGGAGGTACTTTTGTCTGAAATAAGCATTTGATTTTCTTTGGTTTTCAGATATTGTAAAGTGTCTCAAAATGAACAAGCCCTTCATCACTTAGAGGTTTTCTAATGATGTTCCTTCCCATTTACCCTGACTTCGGTGTTAAGAATCAGGATTTTAACCTGACCTGATTGGTTTACAAGGAGGGTTATTGATCCTCAGCCTGGGATATATATATATTTGTTTTTAGTCGACCTTCACAGAATTTTATTTATAAATTAAAAATATAGGCTACAATTGAGTTTAATTACTGTTCTTAGACTTAATTATTACAGTGTAATTGCATTTTAATAATGTTATGTTTCATACTGTGGCACAAGTATTGCTGTGTTAAACACAGGAATAATAATCCTTCTGACAGTATCAGGAATAAGTTAGAGCCATTAGATAACTGCTTGTATGCAACATCAGAACTCTTACTCAGAACAACCAGCTCTGAGCATACAAGTTGAAGGAGCTATTACAGTACCTGTCCTGTAGAAAAGTAGAGGGAATGTTACATACTATATCAGGCAACAGAGAAGAATATATATATATAAAACTCGTTAAAGCCTGCTGAATTTTCATACCGGAGCTAATGGTTGGGGAAGATCACCAAGACTCAGAGGACTTTCTACTGTAGATACTCCAGGTGTCTGTGCTGAAAGTGATTGTCTGTTAACATTGTTGTTCTGAAGTATGTAATGTAAAGAACTCGAAGATACTGAATGGAAAGATGGTCCACTTATGCTTGCACCATTTCCATTATGGTTGTATATTAAGGTACCATGTTCATCTTCACAAAATTGGTTGACTAATTTGGACTCCAGAGCTGTTTTAAAAAAAGCAAAAAACCTCATTATATTGAGAAATTCAGTGTAATTTTTGAATTTGGATTATTTATACACGTAAATAATACACATGTAATCCAGTACTCCTCTGAATTATTTATATGCCTCTAAGAAGATTATTCCAGGCTCTCTGGACTACATTTTTTATTTGCCAGTCCAGAAGTCCTCTATATGGTACAAAGTACAATGAATTTACTTAAAGGTGTTCACATGAGCTTAGTACCAACTACTAGTTGGTAGTGGGAAAATAACTGCTTACCTTACTCACATGAATAACCCAGTGAAAATGGGTTATTTCCCAATGGAAGTGAATAAATAGAGTTTATGGCAGTGGATTAGATTCTGGTTTCAGTCCAATAGATTTACGGTGCATGAGCACTTACTCAGCTTAGGAAACTAGTTAAAACAACTGTTTTCCTACACTAGGTGACATGCCCTGTTGTCATGATGTATCGTTGCCCTATACCAAGACTCCTTACGAGAAGGGAATGTGTATGTCTAGGTTCCTATTATTTTGCACCTTGTAACTAACCCTGATCAGCATCAAAACCTGATTTCCACAAAGACAATTCTCCCCCACCCCCCCCCCCCCCCGCCATGTTCTGAGAAGCATCAGATACAATGCAGAATGAAACTGCAGTGAACACACCTGGAAGGGTATTAAAGTCATCGATGAGATACATATGTTCTCTGTCTGGATCTGAAGCAATCAGATTTAGTTCACGCACAAACTCAGCCTGTGTTGGATCGGAAGTATTTACAATTCCTATTGCATATATTTCGATGTTTGCTGCATGAGCCTCTCGGACAACAATATCTAGCTTTACAGCTTCTCTCTTGTCTGCTTGGCCATCTGTTAGCACAATAGCTACTTTTCGCACTCCTGTTCGAGCACCAAAAAATCCTTCCTGGGTTGCTTTACGGATGGCAGTTCCTGTGTAAGTGCCTTCGCCCATGTACTGCATTTTTCTAATTGCTTGCTTAACATCCTGTTGCGTTGTGTACTTGTTGAGACCAAATTCTAGCCGAACTTCTAAACTGTATAGCACAAGGCCAATTCTGGTAGCATTTCTGCCAACGGTTACTCTGTCTACTAAAGCAGTTACAAAGTCTTTGATAATCTTAAAATTTTCTGGTCCCACACTCTCAGAGCTGTCAATCACAAACACAAGCTCCATAGGAATTTCCTTACATTTAATACCGCAGCCTGCAAAGGAAAACGAAAAAAAAGGGATCATGATGACTTCACTTGGTGTCCTTTTGGAAAGAAGAAGAATGTAACTATAACGAAGAAAAAACAGAATCTGAAATTAAAGGTTTCCTGAGTACTTACCACATATCTCTTTAATTAATTTAATTATATCTTCTCTCTGGATATGAAAAAATTAAATATAAATATTTTACAAGTTGCCTCTTTTAAATGAGGTATCTATTGACACTACCAAAATTTTGTTTATAATTAATATCTGTGTTCTGCAGGGACTTACAAAAAAATCTTACTGTTTAACTTTGAAACCTGAGCTTCGGAGCTTGGAACTTGTCCCACGTTTTACAGTGAACTGTTCTGTATGGCATATAAGAGCCATTAACTTGACAACACAGTTACACCTCTATCTAAAGCAATTAACTACTGTTATTGTAAAGAATGTTTTGTGATGATTTGGTTCTCATTAAATCCTGAAGTCAAAACCCTTTCATATTTTAGCATCTGAATAATATGGATATCCCTTTTAAATGTATTGGGAATGGAGAAATAGACCCAACTTCACGATGCATATTGCTTGTAGTAAGCTGGCATATGACGGAGGGTGCCAACACAGAACGGAATTTGGGTTTGTGAACCCCAGTGTACCTGGCCCACTGTATTACCCAGCTTTCAGCAGCAATAAAAGAGCTGCTGCCTTCAGAGCTGTCTGTTCAGAGAAGCAATAGCTTCCATGACATGCAAACAAAGCGTTTCTCATTACTAGAACAGTCATTTGTTATATTTTTTGAAGAGCATGACAGGACTCATTTGGCACTGGGTTAGTCTTTCAAATAGAACCTTTTACTACTGCTGCTC